ATCTGACAGACACCTATATGTGGTTCACATGGGAGAAATACCTGAACTGGAAGGCTTTGAGGCCTAGCTAGACCTAGCTGTGTCCAAGCTTCCTGTTCCTGCCTGGTGCTACCTGGGAGCGTTCTTTCTGAACAGGAAGTTAGGAGGTGATAGGCCTAGCTAGACCTCAGAAACCTTCCATTTAAGGCCTTCTTCCCAGGTGAACCACATTCAGGTCTATCACAGTGGTTCCCCACCTTGAGTCCCCTTATGTTCTTAAACCAAAATTCCCAGAATGCTTCACCACCAGCTCTGCTGGCCAGGATTTGCGGGAGTTGTAGACCAAGAACACCTGGGGATCCAAGGTTGAGGATCTTTCAGTCTATCAGATAGAACTGCCAGAATGTTGAATTATGGGATTTTTAGTCCAAAAATAATTCCTTGGGTATTACGGGAACTTAATCCAAAGCATCCAGAAGGTTGAAGACTGCCCATTCCTATCATTATGACCAGCCCACTGGACAACATCTCATTGAGGCAGAAGTCTTCCAAGACCCACAACTGACCCTGTGTTCCTACTGTTGTGGCATAGGTCAGGGAAACATTTAGCATCACGTCACAGAGAATACGTGCAGTAACTACAGTTGGTTTGTTTTACAGTGTACTCATTAATTACATGGCACAAATCAACCCTAGGGAGAGATTCCCCCTCCTCCACATTCACCATTCAATCCCCCTCCTTTCCTTCTTGCTGCTTCCTCTTTATTAGAACTTCATGTGTCTGGCAATTTGGAAGTAAATTAATTTATGAGTGGGAAGGAAAGAGTACGGCTATGCCAATATCCTGCAGCCCGTGTCGTCGCTGTTGCAAATGAAGACAAAGCTAATCTGAACTAATATCTCAAGCATGGATCTAAATATTTACAGTGTTGAGTTTTTCATGTCTCAAAATGTTGGCTTATGGGCTGTTTGGAAAACAACGTGAGAGAAGAGGCAGCCAAATACATATCAGTCATCTGAATAACAGCAGTGGGAGAAAGTCCAAAGTTGTGTCAATGGATATCAAATGCATTACATTTGATTATCACATTAGATTTATAGTCTGTTTCTTTCCAAGGATTCATGGCTCTTACATCTTCCATGTTATTCTCAAAACAACCAGCCCTTTTTGGGGTGCCACCTCCACCCCACTTTTTGAGCCACCGGTACTGCCTCCTGCTTTCTCCCCTTTCCCCCATTGCCTTCTCCACCACCAGCACCACTCTGCTTCTCACTCACATCTTCTCACACACAAACACCCCCTTTTTTCCTTTCTCACACACTTCTTCTCTTTCACAGCCCCTCGTCCTCTTTAAATAGGCTACAAAGAAATGAATAGGTCATTTTCCCAGATGCAATAAACTGCTTGCAGAGAGAAAAAGGGAAACACTTTTAAAAATTAGACTCAGGATGAGAGAAAATTAGGATGAAGGCTGCTTGTGGTCCAAGAGCCATAGGATGCACAGCTCTGCCTGAAATGTTCCCCAGATTTCCTAAGCTATGTAGTACTCAGCCTTCGCATAATTAAAATAATAATGATTTGCCCTCAAGTCAATTCCAGCTTATGGTCATTCTTGCTCTGGGGATATACCTAGGAAACATTATATACCTAAATATATATAAAGTCCTCAGAAGTGGTTTACCGTCCTTTCTTCTGATGCTGCTCTAGGACCATATAGCTTAATCAGGGCCACACGATTTCTGCCTCTTCTCCAGGAAGGCACCATGGGGAACTGAACTCCCAACCTGAAATTATTGAGCAATTCAGGCAGCCCTTAACAGTGCCTTGAATAAGACGGCCAGGCCGTGCTTGCTTTATCTGCCTCTGCTGTCATGTCCTTATTGCCCATCCCACCACCTTCTACTGACCATGCATTGTTGAAGCAACCTAAAGGAAATCCTATTCTGCATCAATAGGAATGGGAGGGCAGAAGGGGGGGTGGAGCATTGAGGAGCTGAGGGTAGAGATGTTCACTGTGACGTTTGCCACATAAACCCTGCTTGTTTCCCCAAATAAAGCGCTCGTGTTATGTCTCCTCACCAGCAGATAACAATTGGAACGTTCCCCCTTTTTTCTCACTGCCACCAGTGGATTTCCTTTATCCACAGTAAATAATGAACTTTAATCAGACACTTGTCAGGTTGCTGCCAACAGAACTTATTTATTGAATTGTATTAACTTTAATCAGAATCACATATGTTATTTATTCAATGCATAGAATCAAATCATTTAAATATCATACATCTTGCCACCTTCACCACCTGCTCTATTTATCTGGACTAGCTTATCTTTATTATTACCTCTTCTCACTGTCTCCCTGACAATCTCTCTATCTCTCTCTCTGCTTCTTTCTCTCTGCTTATCTGCCTCTCTTCTGCCAAACCTTCTTCTATCTGTATTCTCGAAGGCTTCACATTCTATCGGCTGATTCCGCCCCACCACTCCTCTCATTAAAAAAAGGTTCCCCTTGACAATTTTTGTCCAGTCGCGTGCGACTCTAGGAGGCAGTGCTCATCCCCATTTCCAAGCCATAGAGCCAGCGTTTGTACAAAGACAATCTTCCGTGGTCACATGGCCAGTGCGACTCAGACACGGAACGCGGTTACATTCCCATCGAGGTGGTCCCTATTTATCTACTTGCATTTGCATGCTTTCGAACCACTAGGTTGTGGGGAGCTGGGACAAGCAGCGGGCGCTCACTCCGTCGCGTGGATTCGATCTTACGACTGCTTGGTCTTCTGACCCTGCAGCACAGGCTTCTGCGGTTTAGCCCACAGCACCACCACGTCCCATAGGCTCATGTAAATGAGAACCGGATTGTGAGTGACAGGAGTGACATGAGGCAACCGTCATAATCAAACATCCTCTTCATGTAGTTTCAATTGTCTTTTGATGAGTGAACATCCAAAAAGGACAAGGCCTCTATGTGTAGTCAGTCTATGGCATCCATTTTGTGTATATGAAACTTCCTTGCTTTACAGTTTTTCAGGCAGTGTTTCTGAACATGCAGAAATGCTTCCTCTGCGGCGCCATAAAGCAGTGGTGGAACAGAGCCCCCAAAGCATGCAGGGCTTTTGCGGCATGAGATTTTGCTTGTCTTCATAATACAATTTCTTCCTAGTCATAAGGCTGCCTTTCTAAATTTCACACTGAATTTTAGTCCAAAAATAATTCCTTATAATAATAATAAATAATAAAACCAAAAATAAATCAAACTGCTGCTCCAGAATTTTTATACAAAAGCCCTCTCAAAGTGTCCAGGATCACAGAATTATACAGTGGACCCTTGACTTACAGACGGCTTGACTTACAGACTTTTTGACTTGAGAACCACCTTCCAATACGGATTAAGTTCTCAAGTCAAGACCCCACTGTAGAATCATAGAATAATGAAGTTGGAAAGGACCTATAAGGCCATTGAGTCCAACCCCTTGCTCAAGGCAGGAACCGAAGTCAAAACAGATCTGGCAGATGATTATCCAATTTTCTCTCGAATACTTCCAGTGCTGGAGCACTCATCACTTCACAAGGTAATTGGTTCCATTGTCGTACTGCTCTAACAGCTAGGAAGTTTTTCTTGATATTCAGCCCATTCACCCAAAACTATTGATTTTACTTTAAACTGTTGGGAGTCTTGCCAGTTGTCTAGGTAAATCAATACATTCTAACCTATCTTCTGCATACCACTAATCTAGGCTCATAAGTTTTTTTTACTGCTTCCTGTGTTCTACTTTTAACAGGAATGACCAGAGCTAGTGCCTTCAAACTTAATAAACGAGAGTTATGATCCCCCAGAGTTGTTCCCAGAATACAGCTAGTGTTGTAGCACCTTGGAGAGTTCCAAGAAGACTTTTGCTGCCAGCAGGCTCCTCCCCTTTTCTGAAGAATGGAGAGCCTTAAAAGTGTAGTCCTTAAATCTAGAAACTACCACTCAGTTGCTTCTCCAAGCCCTAGCTTGTGTACTGCCTGGGCTGGTGAGCAAGTACTATGGAATGTGAGGCCACTGATATAATGAGATTTATTCCTCAGTACAAGCTGGCTTTGGAGTATAGTCTCAAAGACTTGCAGTTTCTGCTGTCTTGTTTTAATAGGTTCTTGGCTAGCCAGATCCATTTTTGGCCAGAACATTACTGTCTTAGACTGCAACTGCTAGAAATCTTCGAGGCACCATGGTCACTGGCTCAGGGCTTCTGGGAGCTGTGGTCCAAAACCAGTAGCATTTCCCAGCTGTAGCCCAGGGTCATTGCTAGAACCTAGCTCTGCTTTCAACATCCCCAGGGGCTAAATCCCTTGGATTCCTACTCAAGCATGCTTCTCTTGCCCATCTAGAATCTTGGCTGCTGCTCCACACAGGTCGAAATAGCACAAGGTGGGGCAAAGTAAACCCCTTTGGAGGTTTATGAGCATTCCCCCCAGACTCTGTTGAGCGGAACCCTAGGGCCCCTCCATGCATGCAAATCCTCTTGACCCTTTGGAGGTTTATGAGCATTCCCCTCAGACCCTGTTGAGCGGAACCCCAGGGCCCCTCCATGCATGCAAATCCTCTTGAATGTTCAAAAAAATTGCAAATCACACACCTAGAGATCTCTGGGGGTTGTGATTTGTGGTTTGCATGCTGTAACCCAGGAGAGGCCTGGGTTTTAGAACCCAAAAGTGACCAAAATAAGCCAGGTGGGAAAAAAATAATAGTTAAATGGCAGATCACACACCACCAGGGGGTTTTAGGGTTGGAATTGTATTCTTTGCTATTTTTGGAGGATTTATTTAAAAATTCCTGAGATTTAAGGGCTGAGGGACTGGGGAGGACCATGGTGGGCTAAGGCCCAGTTGAGTGCAAAAATGGTCTCGTGATGCTCAGAATGTGCACATTTACAGAAAAGAGAGTAGGAAAGGGGGTCTGAGATTTATATAATAAGACATGTACCCCTTGTTTGTCTTTTGAGTTGTAATTTTAGTTTTTCCCCCTTTATTTTTCAAAAAGAATCTACATATCGTCATCAAGCCACTATTGACGATGAAGTCGTTTCCATGGAGATACTAGACACAGCTGGGCAGGTGAGTAAGAACTCTACTAATGCCTACAGCAAAACACTGGCCCTCGGACACTGAAATTAGCGTCAGGGAAAAGTTTCCAATTATTTGTAGAAGAAATATTCAGAAACGGTCTCATTTGATAAGCAAGAATGAGGTGATCTCAAACTACTAGGGTGAAGGGGGGGAAAGGGAGGAATCAAAAAGTAGCACTTTGTTTTCCTTGTCTGCAATTTTATTGCTTTTCTGTTAGGAACAGGAGGGGCAGCCAGGTTTCTAGAGTTTGGGTAAGATGATGAAAAGAACCGACACTGACAGTGCTTAGCTTAGAGCCCGACTTACCATCAGGCAGGTTAAAAGATGCCGCCTCAAGGACCACATGGTGGAGGGTAAGAGCTGATGAAAAGAATATATGAATCTGCTGTTTTAAAGATGTATAGAAGCAGACCAAATCAACAAGTACATTTGCAAACCGGCAGATTATGAAAAAGGGCCCTATGAATGCCGAGATTCCTCAGCTCCAAAGGGAGTGGACTTCTGTAACCAAAGGAACAGGGCTCTGTAGCTAGAATGTGTAACCAAACTCAGTCCTTGGGGTTCCATGCTGAACACAAGCTGTGAAAGGACATCTAGCCTTTCAGGAGGAGAAGCATGAAACAACAACATCATGTAACTTTAAAAAATAGATTAATGGATATTTACAGCTATTTTATTTATGCCCACAAAAATGTGATGATTCAGTCATTTGATTGCAAACTTCTTGGGCATATTCTAGTTTCACAGACTATAATAGCTGCTTTCCACATTCATTTTAGCACACAGCTGCAGACAAGAGTGTTGTTTGTATTGTTGCCTCCTTTTCAAAGCATCTTTTATCCTAAGGATATGCATGCATTTAACAGCATTGGTGAATGTGGGTGTGTAACATGAAAAGTTCTGAAAAATAAAGCAATTTTGGTACTATTCTCCACTCCAGTGTAATTGCGTTAGAAAGAGAGCTAAGCTTATTCACTTCCCACTTTCTTACCATGCCACAGTATGTACTGGTGCATCATCTTGTAACCTGGCCATTCACAGCTCCCCATCATGGGAACAGTCTGCTGATATACATTAGACTATTTTTATTTTTATTTACATTTCTCAATGGGATCTTGTTAATTTGGAAGCAACATCTTGTGGTTCATCTTGAAAAGCACCACAACAGTATGGAAGTTCTTGTCACCACAACAGTGTTGTCCGGCTATTAGTGCACGCTTGCTTGCTTGTGTGCTTCCTTTATGAACTGCTGGATAGCTCAGTGGTTTAGGTCTCTGGCTGTGGAGCCAACGGTTGGAAGTTTGATTCCCCACTTTGCCTCCTTGACAGGAGGTGGACTCAATTATCTATAGGGTTCCTTCCAGCTCTGTAGTTCTCAGATAATTGTGTGTGTATGTGTATGTATACACATATATATGCATACATATGTATGCATGTATATACATATACATGCATCCAATGCATGTATATAATGTATGTATTACTGCATGCAAAGGAGATCTGGTTTTTTAAAAATGATTTAAATAATAATAAAAAAATTAAATTGTGATTTAAATAGATTTTTTTTTAAATCACAGATTTTTATCCAGCCTAACTGCATGGTGCTTGAACTTACTGGAGCTTTTATTGATGGCAAACAAGGCATAACACAGCACTATCCTCTGTGCCCCGAAACAGGCAGAGTTCTGATATTTGTATGTCTCTGTTTCCCTCCCACAATCCTCCCATTTCTCATCATAAACAGGAAGATGCCATTCAGAAGGAAGGGCACGTGCGGTGGGGCGAAGGCTTTGTGCTGGTCTATGACATCACTGACAGAGGGAGCTTCGAAGAGGTCCTGCCACTTAAGAACTTGCTGGATGAAGTCAAAAAACCCAAGAACGTGACTTTGATCTTAGTTGGGAACAAAGCAGACCTGGATCACTCCAGGCAGGTCAGCACAGAAGAAGGCGAGAAGCTGGCCACCGAACTCGCTTGCGCATTTTACGAATGCTCTGCTTGTACAGGGGAAGGCAACATCATGGAGGCCTTTTATGAGCTCTGCAGGGAAGTCCGGCGCAGAAAGATGGTCCAAGGCAAGACTCGGAGGAGGAGCTCCACCACTCATGTCAAGCAAGCCATCAACAAGATGCTCACCAAAATTAGCAGCTAAAAATATGATTGCTCTAGCTCTCTCACACACATATATATTTGTTTCAATCATTATTGTAGAACAGTTGAGTCTTTGGTGAAAAGGGATCACAAGGTTGGATGATAGCAGAATTTGGAAACAGCTTTTTGGTTTATCATTTCTGTTTTCTTTTGCTTGGATGAAAACGCTTAGACTCCTCCAATGGCCATGCTGGCTGGGGGTTTCAGGGACACCCTCCAAAAAAAAAAAAAAAAAAAAAAAAAAAAAATAAAACGCTTAGACTCTTCCAATGGCCATGCTGGCTGGGGGATTCAGGGACACCCTCCCAAAAAAAAAAAAAAAAAACAGTGACTTTTCCAAACTTTAGTTTGTAGTTGATCAACAAAATGATCTAAGTTCTGCTTTGTTCTGTTTCTTGTTCTTGTATAAATCCTCACATTATTTTTTTTCTCAAGTTATCAAGAAAAAAATTAGAGTGGTAGTATGTGCTCTGCTCCAATTTGATTCATGGCCAGCTCATATCTTTCTTTAAAAACACACACACAGGGTAACTACTAAGAAAGAACCGAGAGATGCATCAGAGCATGTCCAAGACATTACTGCCTCACCTCTTCTTGTCCAGGACGTGATTGTTCTATTACAGCTTAGTACATGCTAATAGATGAGTCTCTCCAGTCTGATTTTATAGGTGAAATACATGATTTTTTTTACTATTGATAACAAGAGTTGTGTACATTTGTGGTTTTGGATTCCAAAAACAAAAGCAGCTCAGCTAGTAACCTGTTTCCACTCTGGGTTTAGCTGCTTCACCGCTCTGCAACTCCCACCTAAATAATGAGAAAAATTCAACAGGGATTCATACCAGATTAAAAGCCTAAGAAAGGAGAGGATGGGTAACTTCACCTTTCTGCGATGCTTCGCAAAACAGTGTAGTAAAACTGTCTTTAACCAGTTCCATTAAATCAATTCTAGTACAGTGGTGCCTCCCTTAGCGATGTTAATTCGTTCCGAAAAATGCATTGAAATGCATTGAAAACCGGATAATCTGTTCCAATAGGAACGAATTGCCATCCTTAAGCGAAAATCGCCATAAGAAACATCGCTAAGCGAAACGCGGTACCCCAATTGAAATGCATTGAAACCTATTCAATGCATCTCAATGGGGGAAAAAATACAACAACAAATTTAAAAAGAGTCAGAACAAAGTCAAATTTGGTTAACAAAGGATTTATTAAGTGCACTTTATGATTTCAAACATTTTAAACAGTGAACTTTAACTTTATAAATAACAGAAAAACATTTAAAAAACAGCAAACATGAGGCTGTTTAAACCATCATTAAGCGAAATAGGGGATCCAAAATTTAATCGCTACGCGAAGCATGGTCCCAAACATTGCTAAGCGAAAATCGCCCGTTAAGTGAGGCACCATGTACAGAAATTTTAAAAGTCTGTATATACAGACCAAATAAACAGAGGAAGGCCTCACTGGAGTTTAATAAACACATCTTTGAAGAAGGCTGATGCACCAAAACCCGTTGGGCATTTTACACTGAAATAAAGATTATATTTTCTATGACCTAGGATTTCAGTGAATGTACCAGTTCCTTTCATTATTTACTAAGGATACTTGCCTGTAGACTCTGCAGAGTTGGGCAGAATTTATAGTATTAATTCCTTTTGCAAACAATTGACTTGCTTTTTCCAACATTAATTGGTGTATCCAGTTTTACTTTAAACTGAACAGAGATTCAGAAAAACCTCAGGTTTTAAGAAGACAGACCTTATCCTCTACTGGTTATCACTGTTCACTAGAGATGGAGAAAATTACCTTTTTGGACTAGGGGTTACTGCGGCTGGAGAATTTTGGGTAGTTGGGTGAGAAATCGGGTTTTTTTTCATGTCTGATGCTGACCTGCATGAGCTGTAATTTGTTCTGATCAAGGCTATACTTGCCAATAACATGAGTTGATGATGAGTGAGGATTTCATTGTGGTCAGACATGGAAATTTTGGGAATTGTAGTCAAGAATGTAACTTTTTCAAGCTATTTCCAAGATGCACCTTTTACAACAAAAGATGTTGCATGAAAAAGAGCTCAAATAAGTTATTTTTTTGGACTACAACTCTTGTGGTCCTCTAATTAGCATCACCAGTTATTGCACTGAAGGGGATATTGGAGATTTATTGCCAGTTAAACACTGTTAGGCGAGACCAGTGGTTCCCAACCATGGGTAACCCAGTGTTCTTGCTCCACAGCTCCCAGAAATCCCAGCCAGCAGAGCTGATGATGAAGGCTTCTGAGAATTGCAGTTGAAGAACACTTGAGTTACCCAGGGTTGGGAACCAATGGACACATCTGGAAGCAGGCATTGTGGATACATCTGCTTGGATGTGCCCCTTGGTTTATTCTTGGAACATTTGTTAAACCAGGACAAGAAATTCAGATTGGTCCATTTGGAGAAAGCTGTACTCCAAATTAAAAGGCACTCTTTCTAGGATAACATACATTGTGAATCAGCATGTTGAATATGTGTGTGATGTGGCCACATATAATACAGGGTTGTGCTGCCAAGTCCCAGGTCAGACTTTACACAACTTGTATTTTACCATATTTTGCGACCTGCTTCTCCTTGTCCAAAATGCCCAGTGAAATCTGTCCATTTTGCTCCTAGCTGTTCTCCCTCTCATCAGTGTTGTTACTGCAGATTCTGCTCACATCATTCTGTCAACCAACTGCTACTCGAGGGTAGCCTCTTCATCTCCCCTTCCAATTTTATCTTCTCTAGCACTCCAAACTGGTCTCAAACTTTATGCCCTTGACTCACATGCACAGGAAGCTGGAGGATTCCCATAGACTCCTACATTCAACGTAGTCAGAGAGGGTCATATGAAATAGACTGGTTTCATCTATCCTCATAGCATTTTCCCTTCCTTTAACTATTGTTAGCAAGGTGGGCCCTACCATTAGCCACCTCAAGAGATACCAAGAGGGAGAAGCTGATAAAACTCTGTGTCCCATAGCCTAGAGTGACTGATGAACTTAGTGAGGAAAGAGTTTTCCCCCCAAATTTGAGGGAAATACTATACACAGTATATATAGAGATGGTCACATTGAGAGATATCTTGCTGAGAGACACATTTGATGAATAAGCCAAGACTCATTAATGCAAGAAAGATTGAAGACTTTGAAGCTTTCTTTAAATAGTACCAGTCATTTCTTTTGATTGTTGTTTAGTCGTTAAGTCATGTCCAACTCTTCTTGACCCCCATGGACTAGAGCACGCCAGGACCTCCTGTCTACCACTGCCTCCCGGAGTTTGGTCAAATTCATGTTGGTAGCTTCGATGACACTGTCCAACCATCTCGTCCTCTGTTGTCCCCTTCTCCTCTTGCCTTCACACTATTTGAGTCTCCTCCAGCACCACAATTCAAAAGCATCAATTCTCCGGCGGTCGGCCTTCTTTATGGTCCAGCTCTCACTTCCATACATCTCTACTGGAAAAACCATAGCTTTGACTATGCGGACTTTTGTCGGCAAGGTGATGTCTTTCCTTTTTAAAATGCTGTCTAGGTTTATTAAGAGATTCTTTAATTCCTCCTCACTTTCTGCCATCAGAGTGGTATCATCTGCATATCTGAGGTTGTTGATATTTCTTCTGGCAATCTTAATTCTGGTTTGGGATTTCTTTTGATAGAATGAAGTAAAAGCATTCACTCTGCTAACCTGTATGTATGTGACTTGGAACTTCCATATTTCCTTGTCAGTTCTCATTTTAATGAAATGCATTTTGTTAAACTGTGGTGTGCGTATGTGGGTCCCTTCTGCTGCCCATTCTGACACACTTTCAACCTCTCACCCAACTCACAACCTCTTCTGCTGTGGCTTGCTTTCTGTCTTAGCCTTCATCCCTCAGAAACTGAGGACGACTGTGCTCTGTCACCATGATTAATTTAGTTTTAACAGCCAAGTTGTCATTCACCTCAGGCAGGAAAATGCATTGGATTAGCTGTGTTTCTTAGAGGACTAAAACAAGGTTAACATACATCAAGTCCCATATTTGAGTTCACCAGCAGGCCTGAACTATTAATTTTATCCTAGGTAAAAATGACGTGGAATGCATATCACATTATACTATGGGTTTTTTTTTGGGGGGGGGAGGTTAAAAATCACCGAAAGAGATGAAGTGTGTTCCCTTTAACCTAGTTGGCCAAGAGTCAAAATATTACAGCAGCGTCCTTCAGTACCATGTAGTCAAGCCTGGAGCTCAGCGTCATGTTTTCAAAAGGTGTGGAGTACGTTAAACCCTTGTTCCCAGATGTCTCCATTTCAGTGGCTTGGCAGCTGTGCTGAAAGGAATCCAATGTAACACAATCCCATTTGGACAGTTTCTAGCAAAAGACGGCAGCTGAGTTTACAGGCTCTTGATTCCTCGCTGTAGACATATGTTTCCTTCTTTAAGATAGTGGCGACAATTTCCAGTTTTATTGTTGTGCTCTGTGTTCTGATTTTGCAGCTTTTGTCTTCTCTTTTTTTTCCTGCCACATATCTTGTCAATGCTCTTTGCCTCACACACACACACACACACACGATGTCAGCACTGGCCACTGAGAGACACCCTGTCCAGAATGAATCTTGCCAGGACCAGTTACCATTGAATAGGCCTTCTAGAAATGTCTTCTTGGATTCATTCCAGAAACACAATAAGGTAAGCCCACTTGGAAGGGAAAAGATGAGGGTGACTTTCCCAATACCAGTTACAAGACAATGGAAAGGTCAAAAGTTTACTGGGCCACACATCTCATTCAATGGTCTTGGGTAGACATTTCCATCCTCATCTTAACCTACTTGTTATTATTATTTTTTTGTTATTTATTTATTTGATTTATGTCCCACCCATCTGATATATTCTGTCACTCTGGGCGGCTAACAACAAACATATATACAATTAAAATAATATAAATCCATTAACATCATCAATAACAAAACATTCCAAAAAATAATAAATAATAGATAACAAAAAGAAAGGAAGTTAAATGCTGACAGGAGGGAAGGCCTGGATGTAAAGCCAAGTTTTAAATTGAATTTTAAATGTACTCAGCATAGGGGCCGTGCGAATCTCAGGAGGGAGATTGTTCCAAAGGCGAGGAGCCACCACCGAGAAGGCCCTGTTTCGAGTCTTTTCCCTCCGAGCCTCCCTCGGCGTCAGGCTCCTCAGCCTCA